GTATCAAACCTCCTAAAGGCGTCGTTTTCTATGGACCTCCAGGTACAAATCTGTCCTCAATATCTTTGTCGTTATTCTTTATATTGAACATTTTGGATGGAGTTTTCGTTTATTAATTTTGGTCATTTTACAAGTTACAACTTTCCGTAAGTAGTATATATCTATAGGAACGGGTAAAACATTGATGGCTCGAGCTTTGGCGAATGAGTGTTCAAAGGGTGGAAAGAAGGTACTCCAGTAGATTTTTGACGTCAGGGAAAAGAGACTGTTTTAAAAAATGCTTTAGGTGGCGTTTTTTATGAGAAAAGGTGCTGACTGTCTCAGTAAATGGGTTGGAGAAGCGGAGAGACAATTAAGGTTGGTGGAGAACGTTTCTATTTAGTTTCTTTTTACTCTAATATTTCTATCGTATCGAATATTCGTTCTGTGATCCTGCTCATCTCTCAGGGTCCTGTTCGATCAAGCCTATGCAATGCGCCCTTCTATCATATTTTTCGATGAAATAGACGGTCTTGCTCCTGTGCGTTCGTCTAAACAAGATCAGATCCATTCGAGCATAGTGAGTACTCTTCTCGCATTGATGGATGGACTGGATGATCGTGGAGAGGTGAGCAGAGTAGTTCTGAATTACCATATCTCCTCTTTTTCTTATCTGTGTTTGCCAGGTGGTGGTTATCGGTGCTACGAACCGTTTGGATACCTTGGATCCTGCGCTGCGAAGACCAGGCAGGTTCGATAGAGAATTGAAGTTTTCTCTGCCTGATGCGAATGCAAGGTATCCTCTTAACCTACACAGTTCTGACATTTTCCTTGAATTGTTGTCAATCAACTTTTTTTAGATTACAAATTTTAACCATTCACACCTCTAAGTGGGGAGAGAGCCAACCTGATGAGAAAACACTACAGTGGTTAGCAGATGGAACAAGTGGTTATTGTGGAGCAGATCTCCAGGTATCCTCGCTTTTCGGCTGTAGATCGTCTTAGAGATACTTGGCTTTAGTATTTGTGCACGGAGGCAGTCCTGGTCGCCTTGAGATCCCGTTTCCCGCACATTTACATGTCCAAGGAACGTCTGAAGCTAAATCCATCAGATCTTGTTGTTGACAGGGATTGCTTTACTACTGCAATGCGTCGAATTACTCCGGCTTCGAGAAGAGGTCTGTTTGCGCTGAGGATCTAATCTATTGCTTAATATTATGTTTGTCGCCCTATTAGATCTGTCCATTCCCTCTCGACAACTGGATGAGCGCACGTCGATCCTTCTACTGAGCACTGTCAATTCTATTTTGAATATCCGTATACCAACCGGATACCGCTGTTCACAGTCAGTTCAGAGCACTGCTGCTTCTGAATTAGAAAAGGTGGTTCGAGCGCTCGAGCAACCACCGTGCGTCCCAGCTGGTAAGAG